AGACTGTGGTACTTACCTGATTGGAGACTTGGAGATTGTTGAGGTTGATACTCGGCTGCATCACAGTTGGACACCGGTTACATCTGGACTCGGTTATCTCCGACAWTGGTGACCTTTGGTCCTCGACATTTTGATCTTGTTGTATGACATTTTGGACTACTACTTCGGAGACCTACCGGACCCTATCTTGTGACCTCTCGGTGTGATCTACCTCCTACCTTCTTCGTCTCTCCTCCCACCTTTCATCTGTGCATGTGTGTACGGGATCTGGGTATCTTCTCTGTATGACCCAGACCCCACCATCTCATGATTGTATGTGTGTGGAGTGATGCCATGTAGGTCAGTCTATGTGAGTCAGTCTATGTGAGTCAGTTCGTTATAAGACTTCCACTGCAAAAATACTCATCCTATATTGGTTGATTCTTGGTTCTGCCCATACTCATTGGAGTATGTAACATGGGACCTGGCCCCCGGGAAAAAATACTTGTGTGCACAACCTGTTTAGCCTGGACGTTTTTTGTAAAAGTGCACGCAATACATCCCACCAGATGCATACTGGTGGTTCGTAAAAACTGCAAGCAGTACATCCCACCAGTACGTTTCCCAGGCATTTTTCTCCAATGCGGCTGCATGCACGCTGCAACTTTCAGGGGTCGGCAGCTGGTGGAAAATGGCAGCTTACAAACTGTGGAGGCAGGGGCCTTGAGGAGGGGTGGGGCCTGTGCGCCGAGATTGACGAAAGTGCATGTAAGGATGACGATCAAGACACTGTGGTCGGCCTTAGTGAGTGTGTCCTCGCTGCTGACGATATGGGTGACGGTCGCTGTGGTGAAAACAACAACAACAACAACAAAGTTGATTACATAGCATGCAACGGTCGCGGAGGTGAAAATAACACCAATGACAACATTGATTACAAAGCATGCAACAACGAAATCTGCGATAACATCAATCAGGGGGAAGACACTGATGGGGAGGTGAGTGCGATAATCATGGCATGCAACGGTCGCGGAGGTGGAGGCATGGAAACGGAGGAAGTCTCTGCGTGGTCCATGGCGATAACTTACAAGCTACAGCTGGAGGAGATGCATGCATGTTACATACTCCGGAAAGTATCCACGAGTATGGGGGCAGAACCAAAGATCAACCAATATAGGAAGAGCATGTATGCAGTATGCAGCGGAAGTCTGATAAACGGACTGACTCACATAGACTGACTCACACAGCTATCAATCCACACACATACAATCGTGAGATGGTGGGGTCTGGGCCAAGCATAGACGATGCCCAGATCCCGTACACACACACACAGATGAGAAGTGGGAGGAGACTATGTTGCACGCTGGCCGCGGCCGGGTTCGGCCCAGGCCGCGGCCGGCGGCCAAGGCCGGGACCCCCCCGGCCGCGGCCGAACGTGGCCGATAATTTCGAACGACACCGCGGCCGATCGGGGAGGGGGTTTGGGGGGCGGGGAACGGGTTTCGAGTCGTGGGGGTCCCCCTACCTCCTCGCAAAAAAAAAAACATAAAACCTTCAAAAACGGGCGGGTGGATTTCGAAGACTACCAAAAAAAAATTAATAGAATTTTTTTTTTTTCATTGATTGACTGTTTTTTTTATTTTTTTATTGATTGATTGATTGATTGGTTGATTGATTGATTGATTGATTGGTTAGTGGGGGAGGGGATCTCCCTCCACTCCACGGCGCACCTCTCTCTCTCTCTCTCTCTCTCTCTCTCTCTCTCTCTCTCTCTCTCTCTCTCTCTCTCTCTCTCTCTCTCTCTCTCTCTCTCTCT